CTAAATTACTTGTAAAAGTGATATAATAAATAAAGTATATTCAAGAAACTAACTATTTATAAAAATACTAATAATAATAATAATAATAAAATAATTGAAACTCATTTTATAACACTACTATTCTATTAAATAGTTAATTTATTATAAAAAATTAACTTTACAAAATTAATAAGCTTAAATAAAATATAATTTTAGTTTTATATTACATTAGATCTGAAGTTGATAATTCTTACAAATTATCAAGTAATATCAGATTATTATGTTAAAAAAAAAATCCAAATAGATATTAAATCAAAGATTAATTTCATATAAACTAATTTATTTTTATTATTGTTATAAATTGGATTTTAAATTTATAATGCTAAAATTCTTATATTACATATCATCATTAGTTTCGTCAATCATCATTTCATCAACTCGAAGTTGCCTGATAAAATGGTTTCATCATTTATCACTAATGAAAGTTTTGTTATTTGTCAAATATTATTAAACCTAACAAAATCAAAAACATAAAAATAAAAAAATAGCTATCTAAACTGGTCTTGATACACTAAGTAAAAGTGTCAGAAATGCGATTTTACTATATATCTATTAACCTTCTAGCCTACGTCTAACCCTAACCCTAATATTAATTAAAAATCGGAAACCCAGAAGGTGTCAGGCTTTAAACGTCCCCGAATTTAGAAGTGATCATCAAATTCCTTCGCTATAGTCTTTGACGATCAGTGATTATCAAATCATCTGACCGGCAAAAAAAATCCGTAGAAAAAAAACAACCCATAAAAAACAGAGAATAAATACTACCTAAAAAACACATTTCGCATATTTTAATCAAAATTTGAGCAAAGAATTTATTCTAGTGGGTTTGAATAGTATAATACTTTGAATTTAATTCGGATCTATATTAGAATTGTCGAATCGTATCAGTATCGTATCTATATTAGAATTGTCGAATCGTATCAGTATCGTATCTAAGATTCGTATCTAAGATACTATAAAAAATTTTCCGTTCTGGGAATAATGAAGAAACTTTGGCCGTCGATCTTATGCACGAAACTGGACCAAACCAACTTAAAATGCAGAAAATCAACATACTGCATAAAAGCAAGAGGTACAATAAAAAAAAGGTACAACCCCCAAACAAATAAGGAAACTATAAATCTCTAACTAGTACGTATAATCCGACTCAAAATTTTTTTATACAACGTATATGTATACTATACACTTTAAAAAAATTTTTTATACGTACGTATAAGTATTCTATATGCTTTTCCTTTTTTAGTGGCCTACGCAACATCATTCATGGTACACCGACTTCATCATAGTATTAATACACATGGGATAATTGAAAAAATCAGACACAAGTTGAACGGAACCATCCTTCCTTATTTCATATGATCGTACTGGTAAACAACTAAAGAAATCATCAGAGTATTCTAAAATAATCATACTGACTATTAATTTGGGATCTAGGATAAAACTATATATAAATATAGTCCGATTCCCTTTTTGCCGTGTGTTCCAAATATAAATATGCTACAATATATATAATAATATTATTACAAAATTACTTTTAACATCACTTTTATTAAGAAATAGGGTCCTCCGGACAGTAAACGAAGTAAGGGAATGGGCATAAATCAGCTGATTTCTTAGGGGGGAGGGGGTATAGCAGTTTAGTCAGGTCTTAATAGAAGTGATTTGATTTGATAAGCTTGTATAACTAGTCAGGTAGGGGGGAGGGGGTAGGTCACTATAATAAATCGAAATCACCTGATTTCTGCCCATTCCCTAATAACGATAATTTCAGCCAATTTAATTTCATCGGCGAAATTATTTTACCACCTTATATGTACGTACATACGGATAATCAAAGACTTGCGCTGATCTTATATAAGATAAAGGACCCAAAAATTTATCAAAGCATGATACGCAAACGCTACGTACCAGTTTAGCTGCACTTATCGTTATTTTACCGAGTAATACAAACTCCTAAAAAGGAAATAGCCAATCAGAAAATGCAAATTTTGGTCAGCCCGACATAGAATTCGAACACGTACGAAAGAAGAAAAAAAGCGAAAATACTCCAAAACTATGTTTAAATCGACTTTGAAGAACTAATAAATAATGTTGGGATGAGATTTTATTTATAGGTCTTGTTAAACTATTCACATATTCTCTAATGCCCTAACCCTAAAGTTTATCTTCACGAACTTAGTATATCAATAGATTAGAAAATATTGTATTACATATTATATCATTTAAGGAGGTTGCAGTATTAAATTTCCTTTTCGGATTTGTGCACTGTGGGGTTTTGTGTAAGAATATTTTTCATATTAAAGTAAACGGTAATGAATAACGGGGTCTTAATCAAGGGTGGTATTATTTTTGGGGTATTTCATGCATTATCTTGATAACTTTGCTGTTTCTCCTTAGTCTTTAAAAATGTCAATAAGTTCTGTTATTAAGGATATTAAAGGTCGTCTTGACGGAAAAGTTGCTATTATTACTGGAGCAGGAAGGTTAGGTTTTACAATTTTATTTTAATTATTTATTGATGAAATATATTTTTACAAATTTTGTAAATTGCATAATTCGCTAGCGGTATTGGTTTTGAATCGGCCGTTTTGTTTGCTAGGGAAGGAGCATTTGTAGTTGCTGCCGATATTAATCTTAAATCCGCTGAGGCTGTGGTTGAAAGAATAAAGGAGAAATTTCCATTGAATGTTCATAGACGTTCCGTTGCTTATAAGGTAGACGTTTCCAAGGAAGATGAAGTTAAGAAATTGGTGGAATTTACGTTGAAAGAATTTGGTATGCTAACTCTTAGCTTTATTAATTAATAAACTGTTCGTTACATAATTGTTATATTTCTGTGAATTATTGTAGGCAAACTTGATGTTATGTTTAATAACGCTGGTATAATGCACCCTCATGATGACAATTGTATCAATACTGATGAAAAAGTCTGGTAATCATAATTTATCTTATTCTTTTTTCTTTAATTAAACTAATATTTTTTTTTCATTTATAAGGGACCTCACGATGAATATCAACCTCAAAGGTGTCTGGTATGGTTGTAAATGGGCTATTGAAGCAATGCGAAGGAAGACGGATAATAAGGGTGGAAGCATTATCAATACAGCCAGTTTTGTCGGACTCATGGGTTCTGCAACTCCTCAGATAGCTTGTAAGCATAATAACATTATTAATGGGTACCATCTAATTAAAAGTTTAAAGACTTTTAAAAATTTTAGACACTGCATCCAAAGGAGCCGTTATTGCATTGAGGTACAATCGTATTATTATTTCATATCTCTGTGAACATGATTAATTTCTCTGACTTTTCATTATATAAAAAAAAAAAAGCCGTGAATTGGCTGTTACTCATGCTCGAGAAAACATTCGTGTTAATTCACTATGCCCTGGATCTTTACGTACCCCATTACTCATGGACTTCCTTAATACTGAAGAAAAAAAAAACCGAAGACTTACCCATATACCAATCGGAAGATTCGGTAATTTTGCTTTTCTTTGTTTATTTCTTCGCGAAAATATAAAACATATTATTTTTGAAATAGGTGAACCAATTGAACAAGCTCAAGCGGCCCTGTTCTTGGCATCCGATGAATCATCTTATGTCACGGGAACTGAGTTTAAGGTCGATGGAGGTCTTACTGCCGCATATGTGGTTGGTACACATAAAAAAAAAAAAATAACTGTTTACATTTGTTAAATTAAATATTAAACCAATTTGTAGACCCCCGAAGGACCTTGCACAAGTGTGCCGCCGAAAAATTATTTTAAACCTGCATCGGAAAAGAAATAATTATTTCCGTGCATTATTTATCAACCTTTTTTTCGGATCATCTAATATTAATTCGAACAAATAAACTTTATAATCTGATATGTGTTTATTATTCCAGCAAATAAAATATTGTTTTTTTTTTAAAAAAAAAAAAAAAAAAAAAAATTAAATTAAATCAAAATTGTATTGTCTTAATTAATCTTATCAATTCGAGTCTATTATATAGCATTTATACTTTGCAAGATTATCCTGAAGCTTCGATTCTGACTGTTCGACTTTGATCGTAGTTTTATATAATTTATTTATTCGATTTCAGTTATCCAAGCGATTATATTTGCTGGTTTTGCAAAATAATGAATCCATCGATTTTTTTGCATCCTTAGCACACATCTAATTTGACTGGATTGTTGTTATTTAATACATCGATTCTTTATACTCAGGGACTGGATTAACGCGAATTATTATAATGAAATTAAATATCATGAACTTGAATAACTTATTTAAATACATCGATTAATAGAGTTCTTCATACTCACTAATTAGCGCGAATAAAATAAAATTAAATATTATAAACTTGAATAGCTTATTTAAATATTTGATAAGGGGAGGGGTAAAAAGAAATGTCTATATATATATAAATAGAGAATGTAAGAAACCTAGGTTAATTTTGGAAAAATAAAAAACACGTGTTTTCTGACCCTCCCCCCGTGTTGGAAATTCAGACTGGCTTTAATGCAGTAATGTTCTAACAAAAATTTGATGTTCTCTGAGAACATGAGAACATCGAATTTCCATCACTGCTCTCCCCTAGTTAATTCGCTTTACTCACAACTAATTATAATGTTTTTTTTTTATATTATATTAATTTAATAAAAAATTAAAAACTTATCTAGTAAATTGCTTTTGTACTTACACACTGGGGTGGTCGGTCAACTAATCAAACCAATATGTAGACCCCGCATGGATTATCATAGTACAGATTTTTAAAAAAGTAAATTTCTTTTTATTATATTGATAAATGATAATCAATATGCGAAAAAAAAAAACTAATAGCTAGAACTAAAAATTTGATCGAATTTTGTTAATGCATTTTGTACACCGAAGTCAACCACATCAAGTTCTTTTCTTTCTCTCTTATTATTACGTCTAATACTAACAATTTCATTTTTAATATCCTCTTTAGAAAATTTTGTTTCAGAAAGGCGCAACTTGGATTCTTTAAGATCTAATGACATATGTGAGTGAGTTTTCAAATCCAGTTTGTTGAACATACCCTCAACCTGTTGCTGATGTACAATTATGTAATAAATTTTGTAGTGACAAACTCATAAAGCAGTGAATAGTTGGGTAGGTTAGGGTTTGACATATCACAAAAATTGTTAAATTGTTCACGAAAATTTGGATCTGAAAGATAGCATGTTTTTAGTCCAAAATCATTTAAAATACTTTCTTTTAAATCATTTTCAAGCTGATACATATATGCTGCCTCTTGGTCAGATAGTTCAAAAACTGTTGGAATGTTCAAGACAACATGTCAATAGCTTTTTGCAAATGATTGTGTATAACTTCCTTCTAGACAACAAACTGATAAAGGTAATTTAATCATTGTAATATCTATTTTTCAAAATGTAATAGTGCTTTTTTTATTCTTCTCTCTAATGAATTAAATATCTATTTGAATTCTACTTCATTTAATAATTCAAGTGTTTTAAGTAATTTTTCAGAAAAAAATACATTAAAGTTATTCATAGCATCTGTTAAGAAATCTAACTATTCTTGAACTTTATCAGGCAACTTATAATTACATTACCTAGGAGGTAAGTTAATCTAGTTTTTACTATTGAATATTTATAGCACAGAATCTTGACCAACCAAAAATTTCATCAATAGGCTAAAAAAATAATTACCAAACTTTACTAAATATTCTAATTGAATATTTAATTTATTATCATTTAGCTATGTATAAAAAAGATATTAATTATTTAAGTATGATGAAGTTGTCTTAGGATAGATTTCTAATACTTGAATAAACTATTCTATAAATTGATGATATGATTTTCTTCTTTCCAAATACTATGTAGCTATATGTAATTCATACTCCCAATAAGTTTGAAGTAGCAGTTAATATAATGTATAACAATATCCAATAAGAGATTTGTAGAGTTCTTAAATCTATTCAGATTTGATATTCATTGGTGCATTGCTATTTGTATTTCTATAGCTGTTATAAAGGTATCAAGCAAGATATAAAAGATTGAATAGATAAAATTTTCTTGAAAATCCACCAGATACATATTCAAAAGCTTTATTTTCAAAATTAGTAAATACTATATTTATAATATATAATCCACATCCAATTTGAATAGAATTTATATTAGCTAATTTATTAAATTTAATAATAGTACTATTAATATTTTCAGATATATAGGCAGTATTATCAGTAAGTCATATCAAATATTTTGGTGTATTAAGTTAATATTTTTAGCAGATATTATTAACTTATTTTGCAATTGTATTGGTATTACATCTTTTTATAGTTTTTAGACTAACAAAACTAGCTATTAGATAATTCTATATTTTGTCTAGTATATTAAACAAATTACTAGATTCTTATTTTGACTATAAGTAGATTTATCAGCAGAAATACCAAATACACTTTTCTAATTAGTATTTTTAGTTAAATTTAAAATAGCTAATTTAAAGACTTGTTTATACTAAGTTGTAATCTGCTCTTTTGAAAGCCAACTTTTTGGAAGTTTATCTGTTAAAAACTCATAAATTAATTTTGTATATTCAATAGTTGAATATATTGAAACTTGGCCAACTTGTACTAATATTGTTATAAGCCAAATTATATCTAGAGAATAATACTAATTATTTGATTTAAAAAGATCTTTAACTTATTTTTTAAATTTTTTTTAGAAAATATTTGTAGATTTGAATATTAAAGAATATATTGCTAATATTTGAGTAAATGTTTTTGCTTGAAATAATAATTTTATAATCTGAGTAACTTAGTTTTAGTTATTAAATTTTGTTTTTGTTTAATTAATTTTTTATTTTGTATTTCGAGTTGACTATATTCTTTTTGCAAAGCAGCATAGCTTAATTGTAGCTAATAAAGAGAATTAGAAATTACTTTAACCAATTGCTATTGTAAATATAGAGATATGATTTTTTCTTGATTTTTTTCTTTTAGGTATCTTATATTTTCTAAGAGCTTAATTGCATTTTTTTTCTTTATTGTTCAAGCCTTGAATAAGCCTAGTAAGATTGTTTTCAGAATATGTAGTAATTTTTTATTTTTTAATACTATATATAAAATCTAAAATGTTACTGAAATCTTCATTATTAAGGCTATTAAGAAAATCTCTTACTTTTTTGATTTTTTTTGTTTTTATTTGATTTTCTTTTAGTTATATCATTTGGCAATATTTTGTAAAAATTTTGGCATTAGATTATAGCAACAAAAATTTTTTTATACTAACATTATTTATTTAATTCTTTTATAGTTTTTAACAATAATTAATAAAAAAAAATAGTTAGTAATTTGCTCAAAATACATACAATTAAATATTAAATTTTTTGATTAAAAAAAAACATAATTTCTTTATTATAATAAATTGATAATTAGTTACAATATTTAAAATATATACAATTATGTATTAATCTATTGATCAAAGAACAAAAATATCTCAACAATTTATTTATTATGATCTTTATAATAATAAGACTCTACTAATTAAAAAATAAGAAAATATCTTGATAATTTAAATTTTATACTTAGAACAATAATAAGAATTGATAAATTAATTAAATTTAACTAATTGAAATAGCAATAGATATATATAATTACAAATTAAATTTATTTGCTAAAAAAAATCTTTAATAATTTATTATTTGATTTTAATCTCTATTTCAAATATCTTCTAATTACTTTAGTTTCAAATAACAATATTTAAACTTACTAAGTTTGATCAAAATAAAATTAATTTTGCTTTAATGATAAATTTTGCTAAATTAACTATAATACAATTAGTATGTTTTCTATTATTTAAATAAGAACTCATGCTAATCAAATAATAATTTACTAATTATTAGTATCAAACTATTTTTTGTAAATATTCAAAATTTTATCTAAAAAAAGGTTTATTTTTTAAGTCTTGTTAGAACCACAAAATTCTTTTGCTTGTGAATTTCTAATTATTTGTTTATTAAATAACTTTTCTATATTATTCAGTTATCTACTTAATAATTTATTGATTTATTAACTAAATAAATATATTTATCAATAGATTATAACTAGTAATTTAAACACTTGCACCAAATTTAAAAAATATTATGTGCAGAAGATAAATTTTGAATTATATATTTACAAATTAACTTCTATAGATCTAATAATATTTATAAACTATTAAAAAAAAAGTTATATTCTAAATCTATTACAAAAACTCTCATGACAAATTAAAGTATTTATCTTTCTGATCTGTTTTATATAGTTTTTTATATCAAAAACTTAATTTAGTGAGAAGAGTTAAATTTTAAAAATTTTTACTTTCTTCTAATAATTTAATATTAAAAAATGATTTTTATTTTGTGTAATCTAAAATAATTAAAAAAACTATTTATAATTAACATAACCATTGTTTATATATAGGTTTGATTTAATTAGTTAATTGACTACTCCAACTTACATACTAGTGAAATAATTAAAAGAATTATTTAGCAGTAAATTTTTGTAAATATCAAATAGCTTATACAAAACTTATACTAAAATACTGTAATCATAATGTTAATTTAATCTCAATTTAATCTATAATATTTTGCTACTAAATTCTGTATTATTGCTTGTATCTGCTTGTTTTATTTTTTTTAATCTTAATTCTAGATTTATAACAATTTTTAAAACAGAATATTTCAACTAAATTATTCATATTTGCTAATGTTTCTAACAGAATTTATTGAGTAAAAGTATTAATAAATTGATGTATGATATTTTAAACATAATGTTATAAACAAAA